TGTAGACATGTTTGTTCCATGCAGACTAAGTCAGGTGACTGTGTCTACATTTTAGATAATATGCTATAGCATAATTTTCAAGGACTTTTTCTTGCCGGCTCTAAAGTATAAAAAAAATGGTTTAGGGCCGGGGATTTAGCTCAGTGGTTTCGCCCCCTGCTGCGTAAGCATAAGGACCCGAGTTCAATCCCCGGTACCAAAAAAAAAAAACCCAAAAATCAAACTGGTTTATTCTGATCCATTGTACTGTGTCTTGAAGAAATCATGTCTTATAGATGATAAATCCATTTTGAAACCTCAGTGGTTTTTACTATTGTTTATTCAATAGAATGTAGAATTTATAGTTTCTGTTGGAGTATTTTTAACTAAATCCTGTGTCATTTGAGGTTATCTTATATTGGTCTTTGGGTCTAGGTTGAGTAGTCCCACTGACTCTATTCTATCTTCCTAAAAAATCTTTAGCAGTTTCTTTAGAAGTAGCCTGATAGTCTTTCACATACTGAGATTTAAACACTAGGAATCAGGTAGAGAAGAGACTTTCTTATTGGTTGCTTCAGAATTGCCCCTTTGGCTCCCTGGTTCTCATCTGGAATTTATTTCTTTTACAGGTCTAGGGTTGCAGTTATGAAGTATTGATGTGCTTCTGGCAGGGCTATCACTTGGAAAAAGGTTTTAGGTTTTGATTTACATCTTTTTGTTTTGATTTGATTTGCATGTGTAGATATTTGTTTGGATCTAGTTGTCCTATTCTTACTTTTCCTTTTGATATTCTACGTTGTTTTGGGCTTTCTGAGAGTTTTAAAGCTCCAGCTTTGCCCTTGAGTTGTTCTCTTTGGGATTGTGTTGCTCTGACTTGTGTTGGGTGCCATTTCTCCACATTGGAAGCCTTTTGTTTAACCTGCACTCAAAAATTCTAGTTATGATGTGACCACCTCCTTTGGTAAGGTTATTTTTCTTATCTTGCATGCTGACACCTTTCCCTATTCTTTTACTGTGATTTTGTTTGTTCCCGTAGGTTCTATGCTTCTTCTAGTCATAGATTAGAAAGCATGCTTTCTGAACTAATGGTTGGATACATCTTTTATGGCTGCTTTGTATTGCTTTGGTGAGCTTCTGATAATATCTAAATTTGTTAACATTTCCAGATGTTAATTGTTGGATACTCCAGGTTCACAAGATATTCCTAGCTAGTAAGATGGAGACTTTCCCAACATTTCTAGTTCTTCTGTGTCCTCTTAATTTTGCCATATGTCTGTGACCCTCATGCCGATATTTTTCTTTGTCCTTGGTTCTTTTTCTTTTACTAGCCTCATTGGTAATTTTTCTAGGAAGATTAATGTATATAGTGCACATCTTTCTATTATGGAACTATGTTGGAAAAGTTCTTATAATACTTAATCTGAGGCTTTTGTGAATAATTAGGAGATTGTTAACTCATTTTAATCCATTAATCCTATGATCATTTCTGTTAATTTTGGTTCACCCCTCAGCAAATGAATTGATAAAAGTTTTGCATGTAAATTTAAGACCGATTGCTTTATAGAATTAGTTGCCAACATTAATCAAAAAAAGCTAGGGGGGGAGATAGGCAATTTTCTATAGTCACAAGGATTCATTCCATTTTCAGTTAGGAAAAATAAGTAGGAATGTTATCTAAGAGGTCCCTTCAGGCTCTGTAAATGAGAGAAAAAGGATTAATTTATGTTGTTTTCTTAGAATAGTAAGCTAACTATGTCAAAAGTTGGCCATCAGCGACAGCTAATTAAAACCAGGAAAGCTTTGGAACAGAGTTAAGATCATCATATTCTCCAGAGAATCTAAAATTTTGAAGAGAAATAAATTGAAAGGATTAAGGCTTGTTCCATCATCTTTAGGTGCTCCAGTGTTCTAATATGTTCTCTCTTTTGCTTAAAGTAGCTTAAGTTGTTTGTAGTATCTGGAACCACTTCAGTAAGGTAAATCTACACATGATCTATAGTTGAAGTGCCTCATCTCCTTATTCTGCTCTCCCTCAGCCATTTCTCAGTAGCAAATATAGTCTCTAAACCTCTCATTCCTAGTCCTTTTCCTATACCAAACACTTTCTAGAATCTGCTTGATGTTTCTCAAATCCACTTGGTACCAGGCAGTGATCTTGTCAATCACACATGGTATAGTAGTACTTCAGCTGTAGTCTGAGGAAGGATTAGTTGTGCCATGGAAGATAGTTGTGCAGGGTCTCTATCCCTGAATGGAAATGAAATCTTGTTCTGCTTCTATCCTTAACTTGCTTACAACATTGACCAGTTGTCTTTTGGCCTTGATATTGTCTTCTGTAAAATAAACAGGTTAAAATCATCTTAAAACTATTGCCTGTTATTATGTAATGTGTTACTTAGTGAGCAATGCAGAGTAACAGTTGGAGCTTTACACCTCTTTAGAGATATATTTCTAGGAATTCTGCCAAAGATTACATTGACTGTCTCTGTAAGTTTCTAGCCAGCTTTACTTCAGTTAGTGCTCATACAGACGAGTTTTTTTCCCAGTTTTTAGTTTTTATTAGTATGTTTGCAGTACATGATTCCGTTCCTCCTAGGAAATGTACCATATACAGTGTACATAACACATCTTAATTCTTTTTTCATCCCCTTCCCTCTACCTCCTCCTCCATCTCTTGGTGCACTCCCCGGCTTCTTTTTTAAAATTAATTTTATTGGTACACTTGCTTTTTTGAGACAGGGTCTACTTTATAGTTCAGGCTGACTTGAACTTACTATGTATCCTACCCAGGCTGGCCTCCAACTTGCTGTGATCCTCTGGCCTCAGTCTCCCAAGGGCTGGGATTCCAGGCCTGTGCCACCATAGCTGGCAGCACACTTTTGATGTACATAATGATCACATTCATCATAGGGAATTTGTGCCTGTACTTATCATGTCTTGATTCTTTTTTCCTCATTTCCCTCCCTTCAACCCTTTTTCCTCTCCTTATTTACACATGCTTTGTTTCTGTATCTTCCTCCATTTTACAAAATAGCTACCTCCGTTTTTTTCTATTAACTTTGTTCTTTTGTTTATATTTTGTGTAAAGACATAGATATGTGTATACCTATGTTTATAACAGCACAATTGATAACAAATATTGGAAGCAGTCTGTATGTCCATCAGCAGATGAATAGATAAAGAAAATGTGGTATTTGTGTAAAATGGAGTACTACTCTGCCACAGAGAAGGATAAATTTGAGTCATTTGTAGGGAAATGGTTGTATCTTGAGACCATAATACTAAGCAGATGAGCTTTTTGAACGGTTCTTTTGTTAGCCTGGGCCTACTTTTTGGTTTTTTTGTTTGTTTGTTTTTGTTTTTTTTGGTACTGGGGATCAAACTCAGGACCTTGTGCTTGCAAGGCAGGCGCCAGAACCACTGAGCTAAATCCCTGGCCCTGGGCCTACTTTTTATCTACTGAAACCTTGCTATGTTTTACCTCACCTAGTATAATATACACATTTGTAAAGTGACAACGTGATATAGAAAAAATTGAAATAAGACCTGCCTTGAAATTCCTTGGTTACTACTTTGAAGGAGTGACCTGGTAAACTGTGTAATCTATTTAAGCCTCAGTTTTCTTGTCTATAAAGTGTGGAGATAACCTCATATTTACCTTAAAGGTCTATAAGAATTGTTAAATAAGGTAATATATGTGAAACTACTTAGTAAATGTAGTATTCTATTGGTCATTAGTTATCAAAACCATTTCTATAAATGTTGAATGATTAACATTCTTGCATGACTACATGGTCATTTAATCTGAGTTTGCTTAATACACTGGACAATTTTATTTTATTTTATTTTTTATTTTTTGTTATTTTTTTTGGTACTGGGGATCGAACTCAGGACCTTGCGCTTGTGAAGTAGGCGGTGGCACCACTGAGCTAAATCCCTGGCCCTACATTGGACAATTTTAGATTAGATGTTGTACTCTCCCCACCCCAGTACTGGGGATTGAACTCAGGGCCTTCACAATGAACTATGTCCACAGCCTATTTTTTATTTATTTATTTTTTTATTGGTACCAGGGATCAAACTCAGGACCTTCCGCTTTCGAGGCAGGCGCTGGAACCACTGAGCTAATCCCTGGCCCATGTTTTTTTATTTTTGAGACAGGGTCTCACTAAGTTGCCCAGGCTGGGGTTGAACTCGAAGTATTCCTGCCTCAGCCTTCCAGAATGCTAGGATTACAGGCATATACTGCCACACCTGACTAAGATTGTTCTTTATGTACCTTAATTTAATGCTTTTCACTAGCTGAGTTTTGAAAATGTAACAGCCTCTGGATTAGTGCTATTTAGCCCATTTATGAACAGATGGCAGACCTCTTGTAGTATAAGAAACTTGCATGTTTTGTTCCTTTGGCCCAAGAGATCCATTTTTCAGCACTTCTTTTTGTAGTTTTCAAACTAGCCTTGAAGAACCATGGACTTGAAGAACTCAGGACCTTGTGCTTGTGAGGCAGGTGCAGTGCCACTGAACTAAATGCTCAGCCCTTTTGTTTTATTTTTAATTTATTTTTTATTTTTTTGGTACTGGGGATCAGGTCCTTGTGCTTGCGAGGCAGGCAGCAGAACCACTGAGCTAAATCCCCAGCCTGTTTTGATGATGATGATGATGATGATGATGATGATGATGATGATGATGATGATGATGTTTTGTTTTTGAGACAGGGTCACGATGATGTTTTGTTTTTGAGACAGAGTCACGCTGTGTAGTTCAGGCTGGTCTTGAACTATGTATCCCAGGCTGGCCTTGAACTCAAGGCGATCCTCCTGCCTCAGCCTCCTGAGTGGTAGGATTCCTTGGGGTAGTTTTACCACTGAAGTTTTTTCATTGTCACCCCAATGCATTTGAACTTGGTGATACAGGTGACATAACACCAAAGCTAGTATTTTTAGGTGACTGGCACCATTCATTGTATACACATTGTCAGGACAGCTGCTCAGGAGCCCCTGCAACAGTTTATGTGATGAAACTCATACCATTTGTTGCTTCTCGTATATGCCATGGGTTGCTAGTTCATAGTTTAGATACGAGGATGATTAGTAGCAGTGGTAGCTTGAGCTGCCTGCCCTCTTCTCATCTGAGTCAAAACTTAGTGCTGTATCCTGGCGGCTCTGAGTTCCATTATTTGACTGGAATGTGAAATTCAAGCTGTCAGTGTTTCTGAGACAGTTTTCATTGTTTGCAAGACAGGTCTTTACCTCTGCTAGGCCCTTTGAAGGACTCTAAACCGAGTACTTCACCCTCGTTCCTTTCACTGAACCCAAGCATGAACATTTCTGATGAATGAGCTCAGTGTTTCTGTTGTGACTTTTCAAACATGAGAAATTGATCCTTTATGTATGGCCCAGTACTTACAGAATTTTGAAAGTCTAATTTATGAAATGGTATTACCAGCACTTTCTTTAAAGCTATTATTACTCAAATATTGTACAAAACTTATTTTAGAAACAAATTTCACCCATTTTCTTAGTTTTTCATTTATGCCAACTAACATTGTTTGGGCATCTTAACTTTGCTGTGGATTTTTATTTTGCCTTGTTGTGAAGATCTTGGAGATTTAAATGAATCCAGAAAGCTGTTATCTTGATTGTAACTGATCTGGACACAATTCAAGAGCCCTGGCAAGAGTCCTTAAACAAGGGTCAGTTGAGAGAGCAATGGAACATAGAGGTGGCAGGGAGACAGACAGACATGGATGAAGGGGAAGAAGAAGGGTTTTGATTGTGAGTTTCATGAATTTGCATAATAGGCTCATTAAAAATATTCTCAGTATAACTGAAGTCATATTGTTTTCTCTTTTTCCGGTGGTGGGATTAACCCAGCTTTTATTCTTCATGTCAACTGCAGGTGTGTTCATCCTCGAGGGGGTGTGATTCAGAGTGTTTCTTCGTGGAAGCATGGCTCTGGCACACAGTATGTTAGCACCCGGCAAACACAGTCATGGACTACTGTGACTCCCCAGCAGACTTGGGCTTCACCAGCAGAAGTCGTTGACCTTACCTTGGATGAGGATAGCAGACGTAAATACCTACTGTAATACATTGTCACTGTGTTTCCTCTGCACTGTTCCCTTCCACTTCCTCCTCCTCTTTGTGACACGGAAGTTCATTGTTATAGCTTCAGCTTCAGAAGCTCTTTGTGGCATTTGTAGAATTGAAACTCATGGAACCACACCTCCCTTTTTTTTTTTTAAATTAAAAGTCACTTAGGAAAAGAACATCACAGTTAAAACAGTTTCTTCTTTCCTTCAGTAGGAATATGAGAATGATAAATATTAATTGATGACTTTTAATCTTAGGAAAGTTGCCTTCCTTTTAGAATAGTATTTTAACTACCAAGTAAAGTGGATTTCAGTTTTTGAATCTTGTATTTATTTTTCTGTATAATGAAATTAATATCTAGACTTGACCACTATTCGCCCACCTCATTGTCACTCCCACCTTGGGGCATTCGCACACATACCAGTCAGGTCCTTAGTGGCACCTGATAGGGCATGTACATTTAAAAGCCTTTCTTTAAAAATAGAAGACAAAAATATTATAATTATTTTTTTCTTTTAGCTTGAATCTTCTGCCTTCCTTCTTGACTTTGCTCCTAGCTGACCTCCCACACCACAAATAATTGACATGCCCTTTGTGTTTATAAATACTACTAAGTGACTTACTTGGTCTCCTTGTTGCAATAATTTTTAACTCTTTGGAAAATGTTTTCTTTGGAGCAGAGGCATTTTGGATAGATACCTACCATGAGGTTTTCTGGACATCTGAAGTGAGTTCTGAAAAATACATGGAAGAATCTCTTTCCCTCAGCTCTTTTCCCTGGTCTGTTCAAAAAATGGGAGAGCATTAAAACCTGTGTGGCTTTTAAGTGTAAAGGCACTTGGAAATCAGAGAGGAAAGTGCCTTCTTCACAGCTGGTATCTCCAAAAGGGGTGCATAATAACTATTTAACACCTCAGCTGAACTGGACCTGATGCTGTATTTGGGTATTTTTCTCCTCTACCTTCTGAAAAAAAGGAAAAAAAAGTCAAAATATTCCACAAGAAGTCAGATACAAAGCACATTAATGGCACTGTAAATCTTACAGTATCTAAAGGAATGGCAAAAGGTAGTAGAAACTTCAGGGAATTCGGGAAATGCTAGCACTGGAGTTTTGTGGCATTAGTTACTACCTTTTTTTCTACAACACGTAATTACTAGTGAATTATTTTTAAAGCAATATCTAGAAATAGAACACTATGTATTGTGCACAGGGAGGAGTGAAACAATATTTGCTCAGAAGACTTCACCTTTTGTTGGATTTTTTGTTTGCTCTTTTTGTTTTGTGTTTTTTGTTTCCACTGTTACCGAATGATGTTGCTATGGCCCTCTATCTCCCTCCCCAAATGCCTTGGTGGCTCTTTCTGGTCCTAAAAGCATGAGAATTACCATTTTCAGTTTCCATTCAGTGAACACACATTTACCCAGTGCGTGCTCTGCATCAAGCACTCTGTAGAGTGGGTGCTGTGGAGGCCTTGAAGCTGAATGAGATACAGCCTGCATGCGCATGCATAAGTCTGCCTGGTTCCACCTGCCTGGCCTTTTCTTCTTTTTGTGTATGTGTGTAAAGATAATTTTATTCCTTTACCCTTCCTGTTGCTTTAGTTCTTCTGTGTACCCCCTTCTTTCACAGGAATGTATTTTAGCATGTGTTCTTTGATCTTCTCTGAGAGCATCTCATTTGATCTGGCCTCTGTTCTTCACAAACATTTTATTTTTTCCTCCAGTCCATTTTTAATTGACCAGGTTAATAAGATCATGAACCTTCAGTTTTAGCACCTCATATATCACATTCTCTCACATGGCCACAATCTTAGACAAAAACCAAAGACCCAGAGGCCAGAGCGAAACAGGACCTCCTGAAGATTCACTACTGGTGTATCCTTGGACCTTCACATTTTACTTTAGGATTAATTTATTGAATTTTACTGTTACACGTTTTTTTAAACTTGAAGTAAAATACTAGACAAAACAGAAATGTATAATTTCTGGTCTGTGTTTTCCAGGAAAATCATTGAGAAGAGAGTAGCATGGAGTATATATATGACTTGAAGGTTTTGCAACTTTATATCCCCTCCCCATACCCCAGGATCAGGGCACAGTCTTGTTTTAAAGAATGTTTTTTGTATTACCTGTTTTAATGTTAATAGTGTGTTTTTTCCAACTCTATACAGCAGGTGATTTCCTTTGGTTTGCTGTGTACACTGTGGATGGGGCAGAGTGGAGTTGCAGTCAGGCTCTTTTTCTGGCCTCTTGCCTTTATATTGGGTTGCACTTTTCCCTCACTTGTTCCTTTTCTAACTCCCTGCTGACCTGATTTGATGTACCAGAACAGAAGTTTAGGCATTAAGATGCAAAAGAGGAAAGGGAAGAGATGTTAGACAATCAGCTCTCTCCCCTACCTTCTAGGTTGGGACTTTTAACCTAATAACTAATCAGATTATCTTTCAGCTCTTCTTTCATTACTGCATCCAGAAGAGTGGAAATGGAGTTTCAGGCAAGGTATTAATGAGAACATTCTATGATCTTGTACCATTTGAAATTTCTTTTAAAGGGATTGTTTTCTTAAACAAATTTTCCCGTTTGGTACCATAAATAATTCTTCATGCTTCACAAGACATTGTTCAAAGTAACATCTCTGTTAAAGTGGTACAGGTGGGTCACCAATTGCTTTATTACCACAACTTGGTTAAGTTTCCTTCCCCTGCAATTTGAAAAAACAGAGCAGCACCCTAGCTGTTGAATCATCATGATTACCCTGTAACTTACAATTGTGGCTAAGCAGTAATTTTTCATTTTGATGGTAGGGGCCAGACTAGGTGGACTCCATTATTTACAATCAGGTATTCTATAAACTGTGGTTTTGTCATCAGATGTGAACACAGACTGTCTGATTTGCTACTTTAGTCATTTGCTCATATTTACTTTTAGAAGATTAGCACCTAGATAACAAAAAAATTTGTTGCCTGCTTTTTAAACTGTGTCACAAGGTTTTTGAGAAAGCCTGAGACACAATTTTGTATTTTAGTTTTAACCATTTTTTAAAGCAAAGAGCTGAGCCCCTAATCCTTGTTCTCCAATGTGTATGATGTGACTTCCATGTATATATAAAAATGATTGCACCCTAACCAAACTTCCTCAGATTGTGCACTGTTTGTTTAAAATAATCATGTATTTTAGTCCAATGCTGTTGTATTTTTTCATTTTATTTAAAACACTACTTATTCTTTTAACAAATTTTAAAGGGTAGTGATCTTAAAAAAAAATCACTGGATAACTAGGAAATTTTTTGTTGTTTTGTGTTTTAAAAGAGTGGAAAGGTCATAGAACCTTTTGCTTCTCGTACCATAAACATGAAATGTCAGCCATTGTATGGCTAGGAACCAATGCACTTGGCGGTTAACACATCTGCTGTTGCTGGGGTGTAAGCATGGACGTGATGCAGTGACGACAAATCATTGCGTAGAAGTAAAGTTTTCAAATGTGCAACTCTAGTTTTTAAAATGAAATTTGGTTCTTTACATTCATTACTTAGTTTTTGTTTCCATTTAGTATTTAATGGTCTTTGGAGAAAAAAATAATAAAACAGAGTGTTATATATATATTTTTTGGTGCAAGATAAGATTTTCTGTTTTTTGAAATAAGTCTGTAGCATAAAGGTTAAACTATTTTAAGACAAATAAAATAGAGTGTATTTAAACAATGATATTTTCTGAGAATTTTTTTACTGTCAGCTTCAGTTAATTAAGTGGAGCCTAGAGGAGCTCCCAAGATAACTTTGGATGTGAAAGTGGATTATATTTTGTTAAGATTGTTGTAAGGTGCCTGATTTTTTCCAAATGATACCTGAGTCCTACTCCCAAGATGTTTGGCCAAGTAGCCTGTGCTGTATCAGCTCAAGATCAGAATAGTTCTACATTAGCTTTCCTGTAGCCCCTACTTCCCTCTCCAGGTAGGACCAGTGAGAAAGAGCTCAGAGAGGTCTCTGTAGGCTCCCTAGCGTTGGGCACCTCTGCTCCGGGGAACTAGACTCCTGTGGTTTTTCCTCATGTGTAGTCTTTTCCCAGAGACCAGCACATCAAGGTTAAGATACTGCAGCTGCACTGAAGCAAGTACATATGGTATAGAGTGTTTTAAAGGTAGCCTCATGAACTTGCCCCCTAGTTTGAGTCTACTTTCAGATTTTTAAATTTGGTTATAAAAGTGATAGCCACTGCCATAACATCTCATGGCTTATAACTTCACATGAAGGAGAATGGGTGAAACCCATCTTTACTAATATCTCAACTCCTGAATCTCTCAATTTTCCTCAGGAATTTTTAGTTCTGCTTGCACTTGAAAGAGATCTGTTAACAACTAGGAAATTCATTGTTAACAAGTAGGAAATGTTTTCAGGTTTTGTGTTTTTGTTTTTGGCAGTACCGGGGATTGAACCCAGGCCCTTGCACATGCTAGACAAATGCTTTACCACTGAGTTATAGCCCAAGGCCCTTTTTTCATTTTTTAAAATGCTTTTATATTAACTTACATTTGAGACCTAGACATTTTAATGCCTACTAACTCTATTAAATGCCTTTGACCCTAGCAGAAAATTATTTACCTAGGACTGTACTTTTGAACCTTTTCACCTTTGGATGCTGCCTTTGAAGAGCAGGCACAAGTCAAAGCCCTTCAAGTTCCTGGTTTACTCTTTGATCGCATTTGGGCTTCTTCCTTTTATTTGCTGTCTTTAGGTCTTCCCTTCCCTTAATATGTTTATTTTTCATAGTACATGCCAGCTATTTATAACTTCAATCTAAATAGAAAGATTATAGATGAATTTATACTAAATATATACATATCGAGGCTGGGGATTTAGCTCTGGTTCCGGCACCTGCCTTGCAAGCAGGTGCCTTACACACTCACACATACACACACAAACACACACATATCTCTTCAGCTTCATTCTGGGTTTTATTTTAATCCTCTTACTTTTCCATGAAGGAGTGGTCCCTAGATCATCCACAAGTATTACTTCCTTAACTCCATGTTTGAGAGCACTGATACACAGAAATAGAGGTTTCTGGGCTATGGTGGAACTTTGGGTGGGAGAGTCTCCTAGAAGGCCATAGAAAGTAGTGGAAGGAGCAGTGAGCTTGTGAAAGAGGCAAATGATGATCATGAGTTTCAGAGATACAGAACTTCCATTGTCAAAGGATGCTTTGATGCCATCTCTTGGCTCAATTCAGTGCTGCTATTGGTCTGCTCTTCACATGGCATGCCTTCGAGGTAGACATGACATTAGGGATTCCTTTGTGTGGCAAGGACTCACCGTTCCTTCTGCCACATCTTAACATGCCATTTGGTATGGTGGGTGTGTAAAGGGTGGAAGTGAGTACTGGCGACAAAATGAAACCTCTTCAGAGAGGTATGGCAGCAGCAGTTGGTGTGATCTGCTCCTAGAAACTGGCCTGCTGGTTGGGAATGCCCCTTGATTGTAAATTTTATCTAACTTTTACTGTTCAATGAAAGGCTATCACCAGCTTTATCCTTTGTGCTTTGATAACTGATATGTCAGTATGTCAAAGAATCCGATCTGTTCTTTTTTCTTTTCGGTACCAGGGATCGAACTCGGGTCATTGAGCCTGCACAGCAGGTGACAAAACCACTTAGCTGGGAGTGAGCAGATGAAGTGTTCTGGACTACAGAGCCCTCTCTCACACAGCTGACTTTGAAGCAAGTACATGTGACTTGAGGATTGGTGTGGATACTGGAACAGAAGGGGTCAGGCTAGAGGGTGGGTGAGTGAGCTATAAAAGGCGTGACCCAGGAAGGCCATGTATCTGCTAAAGGATTTGGTTTTTATACCTATAAATTGAAGAATGTCTTAGATTTTTTTTTCTGAGACTGAAAGGTCGGGCTGTGCTATTTTAGGGGATAATTCATTGTTCTGCAGAACCATCAGGCTTTTCAGGCAGGAACTTTAGGGCTGCTCACTCCTAAAAGCTGTTTAAAACACTACCATTTGCTCCTTTCATGTTAACTTTCGGAAGGCGTTGCATGACTAACACCCACACAACTTTGAATTTCTCTGAGCTCTTTATTTTTAAAGATTTTGTTTTGTTTTGTTGCGGGGGGGGGGTTGGCTTTGAGACAGGGTCTTGCTGTGTAGTCCAGGCTAGCCCTGAGCCCACTATGTAGCCCCGGTTGGCCTTGAACTCATAGTGATCCTCCTGCCTCAGCCTCCCAAGTGCTGGAATTACAGGTATGTGCTACCACACCTGACTCAAAGTTTTAAGAGAATGTTTATTTCAAAATTTCTACATGTGGTAAGAAATGGTACAGATTATTATCCTAATTGTGCAAATTGGAAAATGGAGAACAGAAGAGTAACAATGTATCCAAACTTACATAGCTAGATTTTACAGGAGCAGATTTTATTTTTAGAGTTCAAATGAGGACTTTTTAACTTTAAGGAAAAGAAAACCCCATTTCTCTGCCTGGATTTTCTTCATTCTTTTTGCTGTTGCTTTTACCTTATTCTGGCCTGAGAAGAAACAAAAGTATTGCTGAATAGGTATATTTGATGTAAACATCATAGGTCAGAACTGCACATCTGAGTGTGTCCCAGCTCAGTTCCTGCAGTGACCATGCAAATTTTTTCTATAGATAAGTTCCTTGCCTCATAGTTTATGGAACATGAAAATACAGATCCAATAAACAGGAAAAGATCTGTGGGCTCACTGTTAATTTTGGAAATGCAAACTTGCACTGCAGTATGGTATTCACTTAGGTAGGAATATATTTAAATCCAACCAGAAGACAATAACTGCAACTTGCATGTCGGCTTATGAGTAAAATTTGCTTTGACAATTGGGGAACTAGAATTGCCTGATGAAGCTGAACACACGCGTATGCCATGACCCAGCAATTCCAGTCCTTGGGATAAAAACCCTTGGATAAAACAGTTTGAACTGTGGTTACAGCTGACATAGGAACATAATGGAATCAACTCAGTATCTATCTATAAGCTTGCTTTGGTTTATTTCCTTAAGAAACTAAGATAACAGAAAATTGCAAACAGTATTGTTAAACAATCTTATGCTTATTATATATCAATACACAAATATACAAAAAAGTGTGCATGTGCACAAGACCAAGATGTGCAATGTGTTAACTGTAAAAAAAAGATAGGGCCAGGGATTTAGCTCAGCGGTGCCACCACTTGCCTCAAAAATGCAAGGCCCCAAGTTCTATCCCCGGTACCAAAAAAAAAAAAAAAAAGATAGGCAAACCCATGGTTTTAGAGAAATTAGTATGTGGTATTATTTTTCCCCCAGCTTTTGGCTATTTCAGTGTGGATCCAAGGCTGGGTTCAAAATTTATTTGCACAATGTTAAGCCACCATGGAGATTAATGAACTAGAGCTATACTTGAACACTTATATAAATCATATCAACATGGATTAATCTCAACAGTGTAGATTTGAGAAGAAGCAAGTTGCAGAATATGTAAATGATGCCATTTATAGGAAAATGTAAAAGACAAAGCAATACTATGTATTAAAAAGGCCATATACACATGTAGGAAGAATATAATGAAATACATGAGAATAATAAATACTAAATGCAGGATAATGGTTACTTCTGGATGGGGAGGGTACAAGGGATCGAACTCAGGTGATAAAATTTCTTAAACTGTGTAATGGAAACATAGATGAAGTTACTTTTTGTACCTTTTTTTTTTTTTTTGGTACTGGGGACTGAACTTGGGTCCTTGGGCCTGCAAGGCAGGTGGCAGAACCACTGAGCTAAATCCCCGGCCCCGTACCTTTTTGTGCATCTTTAAAATGAAATCAAAATTTCCCTCTGTTTCATGTAGAAAGAATAAAAGCTCTTTTATGACTTTCCTGATAGGCTAGTGAAAATGCTAAAGCTGATGTTTTTTGGGGTTTTTTTTGGTACCGGGGATTAAACTCGGGGCCTTGCACTTGTGAGGCAGGCACTGGAACCACTGAGCTAAATCCCTGGCCCAAAACTGATCTTTTAAAAAATATGCCCTCCATACTTCTTAATACATCACCAAAAGCTTGACCAACAACACAAAGTAAATTTGATAAATTGGATTTTATAAAAATTAAAAGCTTTTGTGCTCCAAAGGACATAATCAAGAAATTGTAGGGATGGTTCAGCATACACTAATCAATAAATGTAATTACCACATTAACAGAACCAAGGACAAAAGTCACATGAACAGCTCAGTAGATGGAAAAAAAGCATTTGACAAATTCCAACACTCATTCGTGATTTTTATAAAACCCTAGAGAAAATTGGAATGGAAGTTCTTTATCTCAATCTGATAAAAGCCATCTATGACAAACCAACAGCCAACATCATACTAAATGGACAAAAAACTGAAATCCTTCATTCTAAAATCAGGAAAAAGACAAAGATGTCCACTGTCACCACTCTTATTCAGTATAGTTTTGGAAACATAGGCCAGACCAATTAGGCAAGAGAAAGAAGGAATAAGGATAGGAAAGGAAGAAGTTAAATTGTCATTATTTGTGGATGGCATAATACTCTATATAGAAGACCCCAAAACTCCACCAAAAGACTTCTAGATTTGATAACCAAATTCAGTGGTGAAGCTGGATACAAAGTCAACACTCAAAAATCAGTAGCCTTCCTATACACGGATAACAAACTCGCTGAGGTTGAAGTTAGG